TGGCTCTCATGTTGGCCTAGGGATCTAAGATTGGGCTCATCGCTAAAAATCTGCTATTTATCAATTTTATCTAGATGAACGCATCATTGGGATGGCACTAATGGATATTTTTGGTCACTATTGAAAATTTAGTCGATTGCTGAATTTATGTATGGGCCCAAATTAGAGGTATTTAGAGGTATTACATCCATTTCTCCTATATAGATTACGTTTGGCTTGAATGGCCTCAATGTGATCTTTAAAAGATAATTTTGGTCAAGTACTCGCTTCCTGTCACTACGGGAAAATCAGTCGTACCCAAGGACAAAAACGCTCCAAACTCGCCGGAGCTGCACCCAATTGAAAAAAATTGGGCAATCGTTAAGCGGAACCTCAAGAAACTCAGAAATCAGTTGTAAATGAGAAACAGGTCAAAGCAAATTGACTTTCAGCATCAATAATAAGGTTGATACAACAGCGGTACAAAATCTGATGCAAGGTGTAAAACGTAAAGCCCGACAATTTGCATTTGGAAGCCAAATCAAATAAGTTTCCTGTATTTTGTAGTAATTGAACTTCAAAAAGAAATAAAGTTTGATCATGTATACAATAAAATAAACAGTGTGCACTTAATCGTGCTTGTCCAATTTTAATCCAAGATATTTCCAAGACCAAGAAATTGGAACTCCGTTCATACACTGAAACAAGGACCATAGTTAGGAATATTATTTTGCAGAAAACACTTATTATCAATATAACCACGCTTATTGCTGTTGAATCCACTATGAATTCAGTATAGTTGAATATGAATGTTAACAAATTTACTATGATTCTGGCAATACTACTATGCTTGCTTAAAATGCATAGTAATTTTGATAGAAATAATAGTAAAATTAAATGAAATTGTTTTCTGCAAAAATCTATTGGTGAGGGTATTTAATCTAAACCATCAATATAGTATTTTTGCCAATGGATTTTGTTTCAGTGTAGTGACTATGTGACTACTAGGGCTTAGATCTAATTTTGGTCCTACTAAGCACTCTATTTTTCGAGTGAATTTTTTCAACAAAATGGAATGTGTTGACTGCAGATTTATTTATATTAAAATGTATTTACCTTTCCGTACGTACCGTAAGATTTGCTAAAGAGGAACAAATTGATTGTTAAAAATCTAACACTGCTTCTTGGCCCCAAACTCCGCCTACGGATTCTAAATTAGGCCTAATGCATAGAAACGCTATTCAAACGCCATTGAATTCACTTTGGCCTATCGGATGAAGATAAAAATTGATTCGGTTGGAGCGCTTCTTTTGTTTTGAGAAAATGGGTTTAACATTCATATAACCGACAAACCGACATGAAACTTAAACTTAACTCTTGATCGAGAATCCATAACGGCCGATTCAAATGTGCAGCGATCCCATCTGTCAAAACCATAGCAATATTTTATCTAGATAAAAATATTTTTTTCCAAAATAGATTTGACACGAACCAAATTCGTGTTCGTAGCTAGGATAAATATTTTCCGCGAACACGGCGGCAAACGTCAGTTTTGTGCTTTGATCAGAAATTTCTTTGTAATTTGTATGATCATTCATGTCGGTTTGTCGGTGTTCATATCACGCGTTCTCATTGACTTCGTTTGGTAGCTTTTGAACTAAAGTATCGTACCAAACGCAACTGACTTGTAAACTCTGAAACAATGGATTTATTTGATGATGCTATTATTTGACTGCTCGATAGGCCCAAAATAGGCGATTTCATCGAAAATAGAAGCAATGTTTCCTCTATTATAGGACAACAATTAGGAACTTCCACAACTATACATAATTGATGACGAGCTTAATAATTTACTTTGCAATTAAATCATAAATTTGTTTTCTTATGATTTCGAAGTAGCAGGTGTTGATGAAAAGTATCAAGCGCATGGGGTGCGAACTCAAACTTAACTTAAACCTACTGCTTTTTGCTATTGCATCAATATTAATACATCAGCTTGAACTACGTTGATCGATATAACAATTTTTATTTTGGTGTTTAGTTGAATAATCGTTTAATAAAAACAGAACAGTATCTAATTAAACGTTACTTCACATGCCAAATAACTGTATACAGCATTAATGTTAAAGAAAGAAATTATGCTTCCTGATCAAGACGCTGAGTAAACTCTGTTAAAACTCATGCACATTTGAATAAAAATCTCTTCGATGTACCTTAAAAATCAACAAGCAATTGTTGTGCTTGAATAAATTCCCCTAATTTATCCTTTGGAGGCGAACCAGCCTAAGGCTGAAAGCCTCCTAAATAAAGCTAAATTAATTAATTAATCCCCTAATTTATTAACACTGCCTGGACAGAAGTCATTATGGAAAATAGTACAGGTATTATTCATCATGTAGGTAGTTGATAAAATCACCAAGAAGTTGTTTCTTCAATAATCAACTGTTTATATTTGCTGAGGTATATATAATCCAGCCACGAATTTTAAACAACCTTTATAACTTCAGTAGAGCTTAAGCTAACAATTTCACAAAGTAAACGCTTTACTCATTTCATTTATACAACCTCAAGCTGTATTCAAATGTTATAGGATATGAGGAAACCTTTATTCAACCTCTATACAAGCAAATCTAGAGAACTTAGTCAGCTACTTATGGCTATTGGGACGGTTGGGTCAATCTCTTATTACATATCCATTAACGCTTATATACAGCTGTTATCCTGCTGTTTAGTTGTGTGTGGACTTGAAAGGCGCTTATTCAACCTTTTCCCGGTTATCCAATAATCACTACACAGCTTTGTCTTGAAGCCGGGTTAAATATTGTCTACGATATTTTTGATTGAAGGAATTTATTGAGTTTATATTTTGCTGTAAATCAAATTAATCCAAATTAGTTACAAGCAACACCACCAAATTATTTACCCTGCACCGGAAATCTGGAATCGAGCTTTAGACGACCGCATTGGCAATCCTTGACACTAAAGGCCCACCCACATTAGATCCGTTTGCGTTGCGTTGACGTAAATTTGACAGTTAGACAATAGATTTAGCTGTCACTTTGCCGCAACGCGTCCGATCCGGATCTAATGTGCGTGGGCCTTAACAGTTACTTCATCTTTGTAAAGGAGCAGAGTAGAAGCTGTAAAACTGCACACGTCTAAAATTAAATCTAGCTGACTGTAAAAATGCGTCCAAAGTAGCGCTAACACAGTTAATTAGCTGAGTACAAGTTGTTTTGTTGTTGTTGAAAAAACACTTTTGATGTTTATGTTATTCAGCAAGAGTGGTTGGTTGTGTAGAAGCCATCAAATGAGTATTATATTCACTTTATTAGCTTTTTTTTGCAGCTACAAGTTGAAAGTTGATTAGGATGTGTATAAAAGTGACATTAGCGTTTATTGGCTGTTGTTATTCAGTGAGATTGGTAAATTGAATAATGGTTCTGAAAAAGTTGAGTAAACGCTCTACAAAACAATTTTGGTAGCTTCTACTTGTAGCTGTATCTGCAGCTTTTGACGTTGGATAACGTCTTTCGGCAACATACGGGGGTACAAAATTGAAAACAGTCATTTTGGATGAGTTACGAAAAATTAAAAGATTTTGAACGATTATAACTCAACCGTCTCTCGATAGATTTACGAGATAATGGCATCAATCGATTGGAAATATTTCTAGCAATTTGCTTAATATTTCAAAACTATTGATTTCATTCTGTAAACTATTGAAAAATGGTTAAAAGTAAACCATTGTCTAAAGATGGTGAAAATCGATTGATTTTTTTATATTCTTATACTTTCTCCAACCGAGACATCAGATGCGAGTATCTGACACCTCTGATATTTTCTGTTCTACTATATGAGCGTCCAACAAGGTCGCCCGTTCCGTCATTGTCTATCCGATCGTCGACCCAGCAGCAGAGCAGCAGTACCAGAGCAGCAGAAGCAGAGCAACGGCAGCAGAGCAGCGGCAGCAGAGCCTGGGGGCGAAAGGGCAACTACGCCGAGCGCGTTGGAAAAATGGCCCTTTTCAGGGCCACAACATTATCAAGAAAGAGTTGAACGATTAATTTTCTAATACCTTTCCGACACTTTTTTCATGACTTTCATCGTCCTCCTGATATTCATGTGATTTTGTGGTGGGATTTTTAGCTATGTGAAATTCACATGGTTTTCATCCATTAGATACCTATGTGGTAAATTTTTTGAGTGTATGCTTCGGCAATCACAATAAAGTTTGCACGATGGAAGCGCACATCGTAAATTTCGTTCATTTTAGTAATAATTAAATTGCCTCTCTCCCCCTACCCTCTGGCAGTACATGAAAAGCCTTTTTGTGAGGGGAATTTTTCAAAAGGATGCCGATTAAAATAATGGGTACCATTTTCTGAGGATGAGATGAGGACGGTTCGTCATCCATATGAAGCGTGTCACGATCATTCCCAAGGATTCGTGGTTAACGCGTCTTATTTCTCTGGTAATACCGGTTAAACTCAATAAGAGGATTGTGATCGACTGGTTCCTCTCAAAATATCTGTTTGGATTTCATCCGAAGTTTCGGTCGCATATACTGTGCCTTTTTGAAGGAATCTCTTAGACTCTATATGTTGGTAGAATGTTCTACTTTAGTATTTTGTGTTCACCTACTAACCAGGCTCGGTTTTATTGTTCTATGCGCCCACAGTATAGGCGTAATAATAATCTAGAAGTATCGCTTCAATACGATTAACCGGTTGGCTAAGCAAAGAAGACCGGAAGTCCCAACGGTAACGGTAAATGTTGAGCAATGAAGGAACAATACAGTTCAGAATCAGTGGTCCGAGGAAAACCTCTTTTGAAGTTACTAGTCAAATCACTCAATTTATTGAAGGCAAGCAGTTTACGTCCAAAGCGGAGAGTAAGGTACATTAACCGGGATCCAGTAAACCGATGTCATTATCAGAAATCACACCACACTTCAAATTGGACGCACACCATGACCATTTCTGAAATCTCAACCGTAATTTGCTAATGAATTTCATTCCGCTGCATCAATGTAGGCCATAAGTCCAGGGCCACCGCAGCTCTGCAAGGTAGGGGAAATGGATCTAAGATTGGGCCCATCAACCATCATCGAACCTACTCGATGAGGATATCAATTAACTAGGGAGAGCATGACAGAAAGATTCAACCATGTTTTTAATGGATTCATTTTATCACTCCTTGCGCACCACGAAGGAAACTGTTTTGAAAACGAAACTCTTTACCATCAAATTGGTCGTCCTGAAAAGGACGGATTTTGTTAAAGGGTAGGAACTTGGATCGAATTTAGGCCTTCTTTTCGGTCTTCTTGGGCAACAGGACGGCCTGGATGTTTGGTAAGACACCACCCTGAGCGATGGTCACTCCGGAAAGAAGTTTGTTCAGCTCTTCGTCGTTGCGGATGGCCAACTGCAGGTGACGTGGGATAATTCGGGTTTTCTTGTTGTCACGAGCGGCATTTCCTGCCAACTCGAGAACTTCAGCGGCCAGATACTCCATTACGGCAGCCAGGTAGACGGGAGCACCGGCTCCAACACGCTCGGAATAGTTGCCCTTTCGGAGTAGACGGTGAATACGACCGACTGGAAACTGCAATCCAGCGCGGCTCGAACGGGACTTTGTCTTTCCCTTGACTTTGCCTCCTTTTCCACGTCCAGACATAATGCAACGAACGACACGAACAGTTCGATGCTGAAACTGTAATGATGACATTTCGACCGTCGAGGGTGGTTTTATACCTGCGTCGAGTAGCATATTATGAATACAGGGACGGTACAATAAATACTGTGGGTAGCAAAATACTCAAAATGGGATGAGTGTCGGTTGTCTCTACGGGCATAAAACGAGACAGCGTTGCCAGTATTCCTGATTTATTTGATTTTCCAGATTTTCAATCGTCTTGCCAGATACTAACCCAGATATCAAGAGCAAATTTTCATTACGTCGAATGTAACAAAGGTAAACAAAGTCGAGCTATCAGTGTCAATCGATGCTCCTGCTATTACACTATATACTGTCCGAATATAGGATCACATTCCATTTTTAAATGTATTTACCAGTCAAATTGCTTTTTGACGTAATCACCTTCCGATCAAAATAGTTTTCGATGTTACTTACACGCAGAGAAATGATTCTTAAATTCAAATGGATATATTTTTGGCTCAGGGCCTAATATATTTTTGGCATAGATTCAAATATATTATTCGGTTGATTCAAAGAAAAATATTTTTGAATCAAGAAACCGGTTGTAGAGTTAATAATCTGTTTGTTGATTCTAAAAACTATTTTGTTGATTAAAAAATATGTATTGTTGAAATAGTGATACAATATGTTTGAATCAAGAACAAAATACATTAGGCCCTGAAACAAAAATCCATTTTTCTGCGTGTAAGTCACCCGATTTCTATGGAGATGCCGTTTGCCTTAAGTAACAGCGCTGAGAAACCCGTGAAAAGTGTACGTTCGTCGTTTCGCTTTCTCATTATTAAAGTGAATAAATCGAACTGTTTGTTGCTAAGATGATTTCGGTGGTCCTAAAATGATGAATGGGCTGCACGTAAGGAGACGTAATTGATAATTCTCCCGCATATCCTGGTAAATACACTTTGACTTAAGTAACAATAGGGGCCACCAAACGACGTATAATAACTTTTGACTCAAAAACCAGTATTTTTTAGCATGAAAGCTAGCGATTTGCATTTGTATGATTAAAATCTGGCTAAATATGTTAAACATTGCAATCACTATGAGATTATATGTGTTTAATTGGAAATAGGAATAACTTTTCGGTTATCAAAACAAAACTTAATTTTTCTCGGATCGGTGCGAATGTTACTTACGACATAATGAAAATTTGCTCTTGATATAATTCACTTATATGTTAATACGTTTATTTCAAGAATTTTCAATTATGTTCCGGATTTTCCCAGATTTTTTAAATATGTTGCTTTAGAGAATTTCCAGCCCAAAACGAAACCGGTTGGACATGAGCGTTTCCGAATTCAGTCCAATAGAGGCGATGGGGGCAAGAAGACCATACGGGGCGAGATGGGCCACCGTTCGTTTGGGCATAATACTTATTAACTCAATCTATTTTTTTTACAAACTTGTTGAAAATGCTCTAATATGCATCTCCATGAAAAACGTATCAAAATTCAATTACATGTCTAAGATAATAATGGAAATGTAACATTAGCTCAAAATCTCTAGAATATTATAAGATATGCAGTCAAGAAAACAAGCATCGCATTCACTATATTACATTTTACTGGTCCGCTGGTTCTACAGCGAGCAATACACGTAACTGTTGCTAAAAGAACTTATGTTTCTATTTCACTTGATTCATGCATGTTATTTTCTAGTGAAAACCTGTCAAAACCTTAACTTTTACTAGGGTGCTCATATTGCCCCGTATGGTTGTTGATCGGAGCAAAAACTGAAATTTTTCAAACATAATCATTTATTCAGTCTATCATTCCAAAACCACAACCAAAACGGCCCTTTTCAGGGCCACCAATAATTCGACAAAGAGTTAGTTTTGAAGACAATTTCTATCCAGAATATCACAGTTACACTTAAATTTGGGGACTATACTGGGGTGTGGGAACGCTGGAAGGGGAGATGCTGTCTGTCTTCGAACTACCAACATCATTCCAAAGCTCCTCCAGGGCGACAGAGTAGAGCAAACCCAACAACATCAGCCCAACAAAACGGCCCTTTTCAGGGCCACCAAACTTTCGCAAAAGAGTTATTAAGGAATATTCCTAAAATATAATATACACAATTAAATACAACACATAACAGACGTTATCCAACGCCAACCCTGCGGTCGTATCTAGTATACAACCCTTCCAACTTTTTTTCAGCTACTTTACAGCACAACGCCGCAAAAGTTGGCTTACAAAGCAGAAAATGTTAGTTGGGTTTGTCCTTAAATTAACCTTTACCAAAATTAATTGCGTGTGATTGAATATGAGCACCTTACATTCCAACAGCGTCAACGCTTTGAACCAATTTGATGTTGAATCATTTAGTTGGCCGTTGCATACTCTCCACAAGAAGTTTTAATTACGAAAACTATGTCAGCACCTGCACTGCATACATTGTATTAAAAGCTGGATTCGTATGTTGCATGAACCCCATGCTCATCAACGAAAATTCATTCCAAAAGTTCACCAGTTCAAACATTAGATTTGTGTTTTCTTGCTTGGAGTGACGCTTTATGTACGCTATATTCTACCATATGACACGTGCGCAGATAAGGGAGCTACGGATACAAAATTCAGATTACTGGGCATGTGCGTCTTGCGCACCGCACATTTTCATTCCCTTCAGACGTGAGGGTTGATTTATTCAAGCTTGGTGGTGCAAGTCAGTCGTGAATAGTGCACCAGCGTTTATGGCGCATGTTTCTGCTTCCTGCTCGCAAGCGTGAACTTTTTTCTTTGCTCCCTGCTGAAATAAAGTGGTGGATGGGGTAGGAATGAGAAATATCGATTTTTCAGACTAAATTTACACCTATTGCGCTGTGTAAAATACTTGGTACTGCAGAAACATTAAAGTGGCAGTCCAGTGCGTGGGACATAATATTTGGAAGTGAATCCGTGTAAAAGTTTGAATGCTTTAATATAATAAATATGAGTACACGCCCTAAACGTTCTACGTCTGAAGGAAATTCGTTCAACATGTGGGTGTCGACTAATAAAGTGTTAATAGGCTCTGTAGGTGGACCGAAGAAGCCACACTGTCGCAATCCAAATTTTGATTTTGAAGAAACAAAACTGCTGATTTCCCTCTGGGGTGATCCTTCAGTGCAGAAAACGTTAGTGACAACTCACAAGAAACATCCGGTAATAGCCGGATTGGCTGAAAAAATGCGTGAGTATGGATACAATAGATCGACTGAAGAGATCAACACGAGGATCAAGAACATAAAATGCTTTTACAATCGGATCAAAAAAGATCTTGAAACCGGTATAGTTACATCGTGGAAGCATTTCCAAGCTATGGATGAAATTATGACTCGTCCAGTATTTGGCAATAATCAACAATCCAATTCTGAGGCAGGTCCATCAAATGATGATATTTCGTCATCAGATCAGGTACAAGTGAAACTTGAAATGGTTACTGACGATGACAAAGAAATAAGAACCGATGAATTGCTGAAAAATGCAGAACAAGTTGAACTGAAGGAACCAAATTTGTTGATACCAAAAGACGAACCAATGGACCAGGACAATGATGATGATGATCCCAATGATCCAGATTTTGAAAATGATGGAGATGATGAGGAAGAAAGTATGAGCGATGACAGCGACGAGTCAGATTTTGATATAGACGAGTGAGTATGATTTTAATTTATTGTATACCTAAGAATAGCAGGGTAAAGTACAAACTCACCCTTCTTGATTTCATCACCAAACCACCCCTCAATGGGTGACGTCTGGAAAAATAATATTGTATATATTCATTTCTGTGTTTTAAAGTACTGCACATGCGCGTGAATTACAGTTTGTGTTCATGATTATATAGTCATGATTGGAATGAATTTTAATTCTTAAGCTTCCATGAGTACACGTTGTAGTTCTTTCGAGCATGCGCAAAGCACGCTTGAATATTGTGTTGGTGTTCATCGCAAGCCGGCAAACACGTGTTATGAGCAACAGGTGATGGTTCATTTTCAATAATATACGTTTGTTTTGTTTTATTCCCAGTGAACGTAGAAGAGCACGTTTGCGCAGACGGACTTCTCGCAAACCATCCAAGGTGAATGTAAATAAACCAACGAGTGCACCAGTGGCTTCATTACCCGCTATAACAGTGGTATCATGTGCACCAACAATCACGACTCCGACAATAACAAGTCCAGTGCAAACAAAGGCTCCAGCTCCAGCTCCGGTTCCAGCTCCAGCTCCAGCTCCAGCTCCAGCTCCGGCTCCAGCTCAAGCTCCGGCTCCAGCTCCTGGCACCATAAAAATAATTAATTACACTGGAAACTCCGGCATCAACTTTTCAACTATAGTTCCCAATTCGAATGTTATTGCTCAATCTTCAGGGCAAAATGTGACAATTGTTCCAAGAACTACTACTACCGCATCTAATACGGCTGGGAAAATATCTCTAGTTCCAACCAATTTTCTCCTCAAGCAACAGGCACCTAAGATAAATTTCAACTCACCAATTCAGCTCTACACCAAGCCAACAGTATCTGTTGCCAGTAATGTGTCGACTTCCACAATCGTGTCCTCTTCTAATTCCGTACAACCTATGAAACTACTATTTGTGAATACTGCAGGAAGTCAGAAACAACAGATCATTACTCCTTCGAAGCACATTTATACCACTACTCCAACGTCCATAGCACAAACAACTTCAGCAACTCAAATATCTATTCAACCTAAACCCGTAATAACAGCGGCAGCAAGTCTAATGGCCATCCCTCAAAAGAAGCCTGATCCTCCACCACCAGTGACGATTACTCCAGTGGCTCCAAGACAAGACGGAATCAAAGCACTGCTTGGACAATTGGTATCTGTTCAACGGGAAAACTTGGCTCTTTCTCGCAGCAGAGCTACCGTTGAGAAGGAACGTTTCAACAACGAGAAGCAAATTGTTTGCTCCCTAGTGGAGGCATTGAATGACTTAAATAATATGCTACAAGGTTTCAGCAGCACCGTGAATATTGGAGATGAATATGGGTTTGGAACTTCTCAACCAATGTCCAACGAATCCGATGGTGCCGATTCCAGGATGAATGATAATAATCAGGACGTACCCCCAGTTGGTAGCCTTATTCCTGTCGTTGACACTATTAAAGCAGAAGTGATTAGTGATTCCGATTGAACGAACAAGATAACAAGAGCTCTCACAAAGAAGCCAAATACTCTAGTCAATGTACAGTAAGTCTGTCAGCATTTGCTTGAGTGACCCAATAGTAGGCCCTATTTTAATATTCACATGTTTAGCTTTCTCACAAAGGTAATTCTGTTATGAGTTTAAAGCACATATTTTGTTCTAATCTAGACAAAAAACATAAAATCAGATTACAAAATCTGGGCCGACTATTGAAGCACTTGTGGCAAAACTGGTACACTTACCCTATTACGATGTAAGCTAAAAACGACAAAACTCAAAATAATGCTCAAATACGAAAGTTTTGTAGCTGTTTGATAAGTTTTCAAAAATGAAAATAAAACCCAACTCAATTCTATTTTCTATGTTTTTTTTTGTTGTCTTAGATGACCTTAGAATTCCATTGCAGAACATTTTTCCGAGCATTTTTCAAATATTTTCAATATTAAATTCTTTATTTATACAGACCTTCATACAGAGCATGCTCCAGACTATTGGCGAATCAAATCAAAGCCAAAACTGGTCATGCGACACCTAGTTTTTAGATCCGCAATTACAAAAATGATGATGTACTAAAAAAAATCATGCAATTTGAAATATATCAAAACGTCTTACCATCATTACGACATTTTTTTAGTACATCATAATTTTTTCGAGAGGGCGACTCTATCTACGATGAAGGAAAAATGAGACCAATGTTACCTCTCCATCTTTCTAATTTCGATGGAAAGGATGCTGAGTTATTCTTTTCGATAGATCGATGAATTGGTTGTCGTGAGTAATACGATCTATGATTACGATTTAAATTAATTAGGCGTAGAAAATAAATATAAAAAATGAGGTTGGGATTGAACTCGCGACCTGGTTGGGATTGAACTCACGACCTTTTTTTTTCCTTGATTTGTTTTCCGTTGATCTTGTTTTCCGTGCTTAGTATCAATGCTACCAACGCCAGGGAGACAGCTCCCACACCTGGACCCTACCTAACGACCCATCAACTCATGAACCGGGGACCAACGACTTTACTTCCCGTGATCAGAGATGTTATGCCTCAGAACATCCCGGCGGCGCCGACTGGTATTGAACTCAGGCCTGCTGGGGTGAGAGGCAATCACGCTTACCACTACACCACCGGCGCCGCTAAACTCGGAACCTTCTACTTGGAAAGCGGAAACGGTAACCACTATGCTAACAATTTCGTTTTGTTGTTAGCCTGAAACAGTATTGTGGAATAATGAATGAATACGCCGTTTGTAAAGCATTTACAAAGCATGCAATTAACACATGGACGCATATTATCAACAATTAAAACGAAACTAACGATTTTAAATTGGCTCACTATAGTAGTAGTATACTTGACTAGCTAGCCTATTGGTCCCAAGCAAACGATTAACGTATCCCATTCTAGTCGAAATTCTAGTACTACACAATGTTTGTTTTGATTCGCTATGAAAGTTTGACAGATAAAATGAGGGGTTAGTGGATTTTCCTATGTTTCGAGGGGTGAATCGATTAGCTTGGGACCGAAGAGAGTACCAGAGCTGCGCCAAAAAGATGAGCACGTTTATTCGGGACCTTCTAGTCTTAAGGCCGGCGCACAATAGATACGTTTTCGGGTTTTTTGACAGATAATGCATGGGCTAACTGTCAAAAAACCTGAAAACGTATCAATTGTGCGCCGGCCTTTAGAGTTACCTCTATGCTAATATGCTGACCGAGGGGGACATCTAAATCTCAATGTTAGATGCTCAATAAATCTCACACTAGCGAACAAATCTTCGAAAAATCTTCTTTCATTTTTCGCATCTACTTGCATCGCGCATCATCTTTTTGCAGGAAATCTTCAAAATTGTGATAAATCTTCTTTCTATCTACTCAGCGTACGCGCAGCTAGTCACAGCAAAACACAATATTTCCTGCATCGTAGATAGAGTCGTCCCCCTCGTTGCTTACTGTATTCACCTTTATTCAGCAATATTGTTAAGCAATGCAATGGAATCTACACTCAAAAATAAATTAAATAAAAAAAAAGCTTAAAAAGTATGCAGATTCCCGCTTAACCTTATTGAGTCCGAGCCATGATTACTTTGGCAGTAGTCATGCATGATTAAATTCGAAATAATCTTTCCAGTATTAAATTTTATTCTTTTTCAATACTAATAGATAAACCAAAAAAAAAAAAATTCAATAAAAAAAATATTAAAATAGAATCAAAAATGATTCAAATTTATTAAAAAAAAATAATCTTCAATCTAATCAACCATGATGAAACTAGGATTAATATCAGATGCTTATTTTTTAGAATGAGAGTATTAATTTTTAATCATTCGGTATGATTAAATCACAAACGAAGTGACAGACGACTAACTGGCGAAAAAATCAATTAAAATAATGTGGTTCGCTGTAATAGAATTTTCTTAGAAGCTTGTGCCATCAGCCACTAGATGGGCTAGTATTTTTGTTTTGATTTGAATATAGTTGATTTTGTGTGCAATATGATCTTTGACAGTGTGCAAAGAGTGTATCATTTTGTCATTTTTTTTATGCATTTCAGTTTAGAGTAGAGTGAAAGAGATAGAACCAAAACATTCTAGTACATTTAGTGTTGCCATGTGGTACAATCCATTAGTAGTGTTGCCATGTGGCACAATCCAGTAGTAGTGATGTTGCCATGTGGTACACTGAAAAATTGATTTAGCAGGTGCGTCACCAAAGCTTTCGAGCCGCTTCGTTTGTGATTAAACTGAGCAAAATGGGAACAGTTTAATTTATCAGTGTAATAACGGAGCTAGAAAACTATTATTAGACGTATAATAAAGCATGTTATTAAATCAATTGAAAACAGTCAAATTAAAGCGTCAATGTGTGTGCAAATTACACTTATTCCATAGAGGTAACTCTAAGACCACTGGGTCCCGAAGAAAATCATTATTATTTTTGGCTCACTCAGTACCAGAACAACGGTCCCAAGCAGTCCCAAGCTATTTCACTCACCCCTGCATGTTCTGCATGAATCCACACACCCCTGATGTTATCTGTCAAACTTTCATAGCGAATCAAAACAAACATAGTGTAGTAATAGAATTTCAACTAGAATAGGGTACGTTAATCGTTTGCTTGGGACCAATAGGCTACTAAAGTGGTGAGCCAATTTAAAATCGTTAGTTTCGTATTGATTGTTGCTTATTCAATGTTATTAGATTAAACTTCTGGTGTTGAATAAGGAAGACAGTCATCGTTTGAATAGCTTTTAATAATTAGGAGAAATGCAGGTAATGTCGACCTAAGTGTCCCTAATTTGGGCCCATACATAAATTCAGCAATCGACTAAATTTTCAATAGCAACCAAAAATATCCATTAGTAACGTCCCACACACAAAAAATTATCGTTAGTAAAATTGAAATATCCATTGGTAGAATTAAAAGTTTCTGTTGGTTCTTTTTGGTAGAAAGTCTTTAGCTTTCAAAACAAAAGTCAGCTAACTGTTAATTCAAAAGTAACTCGTTTTTTACTTTTAAAAGTTGAAACTTTCAAACCGAATTGTAGAACTGTCAATATGAAAACCTATTTTTTAAATAGACTCATGAAAGGATTTAATTTAAAAGATGGGCAGTTTTATCGCAATGATTTATGTTTTCATTTCAAATATGAATTCTTTTTAATTCAATTGCTTTTTACTTTGAAAGAAATAAAGCATAGAAATATTTTATTTAATATATTTTAGTTTATTTATATGATGCTGACTGAAAGGGCACGGCATTATGGAACTTCAAAGCATGGGAAGCGTATTACGCAAATATACAGTTGGCTGAACAGCTGGTGATGGTGATGGTGGGAGTAGCCTTCCTTTCCGGCAATTCTGACGAGGCTGCTGAAAATCAAAACACATCAATTAGGAAAATCGGAACCAAGCAAACTCTTCGAAAATTTCATCATCTTACCTCCAAATCCCGCAGCTGGAGAATCCTTCCAATCCTTCCACTTCATAGCGTCACCACGAATGTCTCCATCTTATTATTTGTATCTTACAGAAGAGAAACAAGCGCACCGGTGGATGAAAATGTGGAAAAGTTCAAGAAACTGCTGCTGCTCATGCTAATTCTCACAGCTGCTTTTGTTCTGTTTGTTTGTTTCACATGTCCAATTTGGCGGGAAACACAGGTCCAGTACTGTCAAACACATTGCAAGGAAGAGATTTTTTGACAATTTTCCAACTTTTATTCTAAAAAATAGACTTTTAAAATTACAAGCCGAAAGTGAAAGAAACACTTTTGAATTAAAAAAAATATTTTACATTTGAAAAATTTCATAGTTGAAACTACGAAATTTGGGAAACTTTTAATTTGATCATGCATTATTCTTAAAGCAACAATTTTTGTTTTTTGTGTGCAATAACGCGTTCATCTCTTGGTTCATCTAGATAAAATTGATAAATAGCAGATTTTTAGTGATGGGCCCAATCTTAGATCCATAGGCCAGCATTAGAGACATTTCCCGAGGGGGGCGACACATCTAAATCTCAATTCTAGATGCTCCGAAAATCTCACACTAGCGAATGAATCTTCGAAAAAACTTCTATCATTTTTCGCATCTACTTGCATCGAGCATACTCTTTTGGCAGGAAATCGTCAGAATCGTCATCAATCTTCTTTCTATCTAGTCAGCGTGTGCGCAGCTAACCACAGCAAATCAAAAACTTTCCTGCATCACAGATAGAGTCGCCCCCCTCGACATTTCCCTTGTATTAATTCTATCAGAGCAAACAGCGGAATAAAGGCGCATCTATCGATCTCAATGAGGACCACTGGGTCCCGAAGAAAATCATTATTATTTTTGGCTCACTCAGTACCAGAACAACGGTCCCAAGCAGTCCCAAGCTATTTCACTCACCCCTGCATGTTCTGCATGAATCCACACACCCCTGATGTTATCTGTCAAACTTTCATAGCGAATTGGCGTTGACGGCGACTCTGTAGCTCTTTACTCCTATGAGAAAATCCATAAGCAAACGT